GCCTCCGCCACCGTCCGGTGGTGGCCCGCCGCCTCCGCCAGCCCCGCCTCCATCGTCGGGCAAGAACAAGAACAAGAACAAGAAGAAGGGCGGCGCCGGCGGTGGTGGTGGCCGTGGCGCTCTCCTCTCCTCTATTCACAAGGGCGCCAAGCTCAAGAAGACCGTCACCAACGACCGGTCGGCACCCAAGGTCTAATCGCGCTCTCGCTTGCACGCCTCTTCCTCTCTCTTTACTTTTTTGTCTCTACCGCGCTTGCTCTGTCTCGACCGTTGATCCCATGCCGAATCCACGTGGCAAACCTGCCCAATGGGCCATGAGCAGCTCTCTGCTTCTCTGCACTGCACTGGCCGTCATCGTGAAGGCACCCGCCACCTCCCCGTGCCCGCGCTCTACCAACTTAGCTCGCATTTTCCCCGCAATCTCCCCTCCTGCTCGCACCCCCCACCACCTCCTCCATTTCACAATATGCATCTAACCAGAGCATCCATCACTCCATCAGCTCCCCACACTCAACAAATACCGTTCATCATCGCCCGCTGCTACCCCGCCACCTGCCTGCCACCCACCGCCACCCACCGCCACCCACCGTCGCCCACCGCCACCCACCCGCAACCGCCCCCACACCCAACTCTACACACTACCAACATGCCCTTTGGAGACTTCTCCAAGGTACGCACCCCCACCACGCTCTACCCCCACACACCCATCACCTTCCCCCCTTTCCCCCTCCCCCCCTTCCATACTGCCTACCCGTCCCCCCCCCCCCCCCCCCCCTCCCCTCCTCCCCCTTCCGCCAGGTTGATCGATCGCCAATGGCAACCCCCCTGAACAACACAACATTAATCAATGCCACAACGATTATTCCCCACCCCCAATTGAAGCTCAACCATCATTGCCGTTGGAGGGGCGAGGCAACGAGAGTTTGAGGCAAATTTTGCCCCCACGGACCCACCATGTACACTCACACGCGCCATGTACGTACGGTGGTTGTGGTGGAGACATACAGGGTGAGTGGGTGTGGGTCGTGCCACGGGACCCGCACTCCAAGGAGGTGTACCTCGGAGGAGAATGCGCTGTGGTGACCGACGACGAGGTCAAGATTCGGTTGGCGCTGGGTGACCCGCCTGCGGGTGAGAGCCACAAGGTTACGGAGGTTGTCTGCTCAGACTCGTCAAAGTACAAGGCGGTGAAGATGGCGGAGAACTGCGTGAGTGGCGTGGAGAACATGATTGAGCTGTCGGATCTGCACGAGGGCGCGCTGCTGCACAACCTGCGCATGCGGTTCAAGGCCGATCTCATCTACACCTTTGTGGGCACCATTCTGGTGGCCATCAACCCGTACCGCGACCTCGGGTACACCACGCTCCAGCAGAAGAAGGCGTACAAGGGCAAGGACTTGGACCCATCGATGCCGCCGCACCCGTTTGCGTCGGCGGACCACGTGTATAACTCGATGGTGGCCAACCTCCGCGACGGGTGCGCCGAGGGCAAGCACATCAACCAGTCTGTGGTCATCTCGGGTGAGTCTGGCGCTGGCAAAACCGTACGACCGGCCACATTCTCGAGTACCTTACGTTTGTGACCGGGCGCGAGTCCGAGGTGCAGAACCAGATCCTGGCGTCGGGCGAGATGCTCGAAACGTTTGGCAACGCCAAGACCATGCGCAACCATAACTCGTCACGGTTCGGCAAGTTTGTCGAGGTCCTCTTTGACGACGAGGGCATGATCATGGGCGCATCGATCAAGCACTACCTGCTCGAAAAGTCGCGCGTGGTGACCCAGTCCAAGGAAGAACGCAACTACCACTGCTTTTACCAGCTCTTTGCCGGCACCACCGAGGACGAGCGGATGGCCAAGTGGAAGCTGAGCGCCGTGCCCGAGGATTACTTTTACCTGGCCCAGTCGGGCGTGACATTTATGAAGAAGATCATGGACGACGCCGAGGTCTTCCAGATCACCATGAAGCACATGACTACGCTCAACTTTGACGCCGAGACGCAGGAGACTATCTGGAAGATCTGCGCCGCCGTCCTCCACATCGGCAACGTCCAGTTTGAGGGTGAGGACTCAGTGACTGTGACCACGCCCGAGGCCATCGCCGGCGCCTCGCATTGCCTCGAAATCGACCCGGACGACCTCGACAAGGCGCTCCGCGAGCGGGTGCTGATGATGGGCGGCAATGCGACGACCTCGTTCTTCAACTACAAGGACGCCATCAACAATCGCAACGCGCTCGCCAAGGCCGTGTACTCGGCCATGTTTGACTGGATCGTCGCCCACATCAACGAGACCATCGCCTCGGATGAGGAGCCCGCGGCCTTTATCGGCGTGCTCGACATCTTTGGCTTTGAGCACTTTACCAACAAGCCGCGCCCGCTCCCGCCCAAGGCGCCCAAGGTCATGCTGCCCAACAACCACTTTGAGCAGTTTTGCATCAACTTTGCCAACGAGATGCTGCAAAACTTTTTCAACATCAACATCTTTGAGCAGGAAAAGGCCATCTACCAGGCCGAGAACATCCCGCTCGACGACATCCGCTTCCAGAACAACGACCTCTGCATTGCCCTCGTTCAGGAGAAGGACGGCATCATCGACATCATGAACGACTGCTCCAAGCCGCGCCCGCCGACAACCTGGCAGCAGTTCCGCGACCGCCTACTCCAGGCCCACTGCTCGGGCGCAAACTGGGAACCCAACCCCAACAAGGACTACGACTTTCGGGAGAATCGCTCCGAGTACCTCGACAAGATCACCAAGCAAGACAAGTGGAAGACCGACATGACCGACATCATCCTCCACCACTACGCCGGCCCCGTCCAGTACACCATCGGATCGGACGATCCCGACGCCCCGCAGGACTGGCTTGCCAAGAACAAGGACAAGCTCTCCGACGACCTCATCCAGCTCATCAAGAAGAGTGCAAATCCGCTCATTGCCTCCATCCTTGACTACGCCCCGCAGTCGGACGACCGCAACCCGACCGTTGCCCGCCGCTTCCAGTCCTCGCTGCAGGAGCTCATCGGTAAGCTCACCGCCACTGATGCGCTGTTTGTGCGGACCATCAAGCCGAACGGCCGGAAGAAGCCCAAGTTTTTCGAGGACGACATGACGCTCGAGCAGCTCCGCTGCGCCGGCATGCTCGAGACCATCAAGATCCGCAAGATGGGCTATCCGCGCAAGAACCGCCCGCGCGACTTTGTCGAGCGCTACAAGATTTGCGTCCCACTCGACGAGCTTGCCGGCATGGACTTTGAGGCCCAGGCCGTCTACCTCTGCGACAAGTTCATCGACGCCGACGATGAGATGGTCGCCAACAATGGTGTCCCCTACCGCATGGGCACCACCATGATCTTTCTCAAGGACTATGCCTTTGGCCAGCTAGAGGCCGCCCGCGAGGCCCGCCTCAAGGAGATTCTCAAGATGAAGCAGCGCGCCGCGCTCCTCGTCCAGTCGCTCTACCGAACCACCCTCATGGTCCAGGCCATTCCCAAGCTCGAGGAAAAGTACGAGAACGTCCGCCTGTGGAACGAGGAGAAGCTCCGCCGCATGCAAGCCACCGGCAAGTCTGCCGACGAGATCCAGGCCGAGATGGAGGAGGAGCGTCGCGTCGCCGAGGAGAAGAAGCACCTCGACCTCAAGGCCAAGGTCTGTGGCAAGGCCGATTCGATCGTCAAGGTCGCTGCCGAGCCCGTCGAGACCGTCAAGGCCCGCATCTCCGAGCTCCTCGATGACACCCGCGAGCCCGGCTGGTCCGCCGATCAGCTTGCCAACATGCGCGGCCGCATCCACGAGCTCGAGCAGGCCGAGATGGAAATGGAGGAGGCCACCCGCGCCCTGCACGCCGAGTTTGCCTCGCTCAAGCCCTCGCTCGACGACTACGATCTCTCTCTCGCAGACGTGGTCAAGGACAAGGCTGACATCCTCGCCGCTGCCATCGCCGCAAACCTCGCCACCCTCTCGCAGGAGAAGATCGACCGCGCCAAGCGCGTCACTGACTGGGTCAAGGAGAAGAAGCGCCTCGAGGAGGAAGAACGCCGCCGCGTTGCCCGGGAAAAGGCCGAGGCCAAGCGCCGCAAGAAAGAGGAGGCCGCCCGCGCCCGCCAGCGCAAGCTCGAGGAGGAGGAGGCCGCCCGCCGCCTCGAGCTCGAGCGCAAGATGGCCGAGCTCCAGGCCGAAGTCGATGCCAAGAAGGAGGCCCGCCGCTCGCAGATCATGCACAAGCGCGAGCGCGCCGAGGAGCGCCGCCAGGCCGCGCGTCTCAAGCGCGTTGAGCGCGAAAAGGTCGAGAAGATCGAGGCCGAGCAGCGCGAGTTTGAGGAGCAGATGAAGCGCAAGGAGCTCGAGGACCTCGAGCAGCTCGAGGCCGAGGAGAAGGCCGTGCTCGAGGCCGAGAACGCGGCTGCAGAGGCACTCGCAAAGGCGCCCACCGCCGCCCTCACCGGCATCCGCGTCAAGTTTGGCGACATCAAGGCCACCGTCAAGTACGTTGGTCCGCTCCCGTTCTACGCCTCGGGCGAGTGGCTCGGCATCGAGGCCGACGTCGTCGTCGGCGACACCCCCGGCTCTTCCGGCTGGTGCATGGGCGAGCGCTTCTTTGAGTGCACCCAGGGCCACGGCCTCTTTGTCCGCGCCGACATGGTCCATGTCCTCTCCCGCGACCCGGCTCAGCGCTCAGACCTCTTCAACGACGCCGAGTTTGACAAGCCGCTCGGCTTTGGCGACATGGTCGACTGGGAGGGCCACCTTGGCCGCGTCCGCTACATCGGGCCGACTCACTTTGAGGCCGGCAACTGGATCGGTGTCGAGCTCGACGAGCCGCACGGCCACAACAACGGCTCAGTCGACGACCAGGTCTACTTTTCCTGCCGTCGCGGCCACGGCATCTTCACTCGCGCCCACTCGGTCGACTGCGTTTCTCTCTGGTCGCACACCTTTGCCCAGCGCGTCGTTCAGGACTACATCTCCGCCAACGACCTCGACCTCTACGACGAGTTTGACGAGTTTGACGACGTCGACGAGATCGAGCTGCAGAACCTCGAGCTCAAGGAGGCCGAGGCCCGCCTTCGCCAGCGCTTCGGCGCTGATTTTGAGATGTCCAAGTTTATCGACATGTCCAAGCCTGGCCAGGTCGTCGATCTCGACGAGAGCGACGGGTAGGCGGCCGGCCGTTGAGCTGGCGTCTGGTGTTAAAACAAAAATGCTCCCCCAGCCCCATACGTGCCCAGCCAAGCCGACACCACATCGCCTTGTCGTCGTTCGCCGTTGTGAATGCCGGCCGGTGTGCCACGGCCGCCATCGTCGCCGCGTATGACCACGAGGGGTTGTGGCCGAGATCTGGGCGCCGGTCGTCTTGTCGATATGCTCGGCCATGTGAAGGTTGTCCGACGCCACGTGGTAGCGGACAAGATCCAGATCCCCGTCGCTGGATAGCAGGGGGACGAAGGATGGGGAGAGCGAGTTGATCAGCTAAGAAGTAACAGAACAGAAGTACGCTGTGTTTTTGATCAGCGATCGCCTTTTCGACATCGTCTTTACCAGAGGCGGCGAGCCGGCGTCTGGACTGTGTAACCCTCGTCAAATGCTCATCTATCGGAGCCACCTGGAGGATGGAGCATTCTTGCGCTAGACAATGTGAGGAGTGTGATAGAAGATGCCGCGAGGGGGGATATCATGTGCCGGACACAACCACCACAAGGACACCCATCCGCCGACTGATTGTGACACAAACCACACAACAACATTCGTCTGTGGCGAGGAGGCAGAGCATGGCAACACGGGTACGTACACTCCAGCCCCCCAGCAGCAGCACATACTCCCCCTACACACACATGCATACCCAGGGAAAGGGAAAAGGACCCTCGTCACCCTCGTCACCACTCACCCCCCCCCCCCCCCGCCTCACCTTAGTCATTGGTCAAGGTCTACCTTCCCAATGAGACGTTCAAGACGCTGCCGATCAAGTCGACGACGTCTGCCGCCGAGCTCGTGCGACTGCTTGCGTGGAAGTGCTCACTGACGGAAGCACATGCCAGTGATTATGGACTGTTTGTTCGGGATGCCGCCACAAAGGCTCTCTGTCGACGCATCAACCATGAGGAGCTCGTCATGGATGTCACCAAGCATTGGCAGAGAGATGGGCCGGAAGAGCTGTTCTTTGCCCCAGCCGCTGCTGCTGATGCGGATGCTGCTGTCTCGCTCGATGCCGACTATGCTTCCGTGGGCTCGGCAGGCCCGTCCTCGCTGGCTTCGGCTGCTTTCATGTCTGCTTCTATGGTCATGGGCGTCAAAGTCCTCGCCGGCCGCGAGCTGGCAAAGATGGACTTTTTTGGCGCATCGGACCCGTACTGCATCCTCTCTACAGGCTTTGAGCGAGTCAAGACCCGAGTGTGCAAGAAGACCCTCGATCCGGTGTGGAACGAGACGTTTCTCTTCTCAGTCGAGGCCTCGTCCGTCCTCTCGTTGCGCATGTACGACAAAGATCGCGGCCGCAAGGACGACTTTATGGGCCGCGTCAACGTCCCGGTCCGCGACGTCATGCTCGCCATCTCCTCGCTCGAGGCCGGCGTCACCCCGGCCTGGGACGCTTGGTTCAACCTCGAGCACGACCCTACAGATACCTCCACACCCGCCGCCCGTATCCGTGGCGCCGTCCACCTCCAGTTTTGCTTTGTCGACCTCGAGGCGCTCGACGGTATTGGCGCCGCGTCGATGGCTTCGACCAGCGCCTCGTCGTCCGCCGCCGCCTCGCGTGCCGACCCAAGCCTTGCCGCCCTTGCGCTCGGTACCACCTCGGGCAAGGTCTCGGCCCTCATGGCTGCACCCGACGCCGCCCACTCGGCCGCGCTCCTCGCCAATCCGATTATTGCCGAGGAGCGCGCCGCCGAGCGCGCCGCAGCCGCCTCGTCGCCGCCGGCCGGCGACGTCTCCGACACCCCTCTTCCGCCGGGCTGGGTCCGCCGCATTCATGTCACAACTGGTGAAGTCTACTACATCCATGAGGACTCGCGCACTTTCCAATGGCTCCATCCGGCCGAGACTGTTCTGGCCGACGCCGGCGACGCCTTGCCTGCCGGCTGGGAGCTGGCCAGCTCTGCCGATGGCCACCCATTCTATGTCAACACTGTGAGCCGCGAGAGTCAGTTTGAGCGGCCGACTGCGCCGGCGCTGGGCGTGTCGGTGCCGCCGACTCGCACCGGACCTTTGTCGTCATCAACATCGTCGTCGTCGTCTTCCTCCTCCTCGACGTCTGACTCGGACTCGGACTCTGACTCGGACTCGGACTCGGACTCGAACGCCAACTATGCCACCCCGCCCGCAACACCTGTTGCTGGCGCGAGTCTGCGTATCCCACCAGTCAGCGTCGACGGCGCCGACGTGACGTCCGAGGCCGACGGTGGGTCGTGGTCCGACGGCGGTGGCGACGACGACGGCAACGACATCGAAGTCCGCGCGATGGCTTCCGACGAAGGTGACGTCGGCGAGAGTGCCGCCGCCAGTGGCCCAGCCCAGTTGGTGGTTCCGGGACGCGGCGAGCCGCGTGAGCACTCGCAGCTGGGCGTGTCCACGCCGGTGCCGGTCCGACAGGAGGCCGGGCGGCTGGTGCTGGACGTGTCGCATGTGGTCGAGTCCATGACGTCGTCGATTGACTCGACGCCGCCGATGCTCAACATTCGCGAACGGGCATTGATGGAGATGCTCGAAGCGCGGCTGAACTTGCGAGCTGCCGAGGCCGATGTTGAGGCTGAGCTGCCGCCGGGCTGGGGCCGCCGGGTCGACGGCTCGGGCCGTGCGTACTACATCAACCACACAACTCGGGCCACAACTTGGACTCGCCCCGTTCTGCCAGCCGATGCTGACGGCGAGACTCGGGAGACAGAGCGTGAGCGCCGGAGGGCGCAGTTCCTCTCGCGCCGGCTGGCAGTTCCGACCGCACATCCGGCGCTCGACCCGGCCGACTCATTCTCGTTTGATGGGCCTATCACTGACCTCGCTGCCGCTGTCGACGGCGACGGCTCTGCAGCGACCGATGACACTAGCGCGGCTGGCGACGACGGTGACGGCGACGGAGCGGCGTCTGCGGATGGTGCGAGCACACGAGGCGATGCCGACTCGAGTGGCCCGCCGCATGGGCTCTACCTCTCGATGCCCGAGTCGGGAGGCGGGTCGTTGGCCGGCGGGGCGGCCGGCGGAGCTCTGTCGACATCGTCGCTGCCGACGCCGTCGGCTCAGGGCCGGCCACTGCCGGCAGGTTGGGAGCAAGCGTCAACCGCCGACGGGCGTATCTTCTTTATTGACCACAACACACGGACAACGACGTGGGAAGACCCACGAGGGCTGGCTGACGACGGCTCGGGACCTGCGTTCCCGGCTATCGAGGCCGATGACGATCCGGCACAGAGCGAGCGCGACGAGGTCGACGCCATCATGCAGGGCGGCGCCGAAGCCATGGCGTGCCTCGACGACTTTCTGCCGGCCGGCGAGTGGGAGGTTGGCCAGACTGCCGAAGGCCGGCGATTCTACATCAACCACGCGGGGCGCACGACGCACTGGACGCTTCCGCGCGAAGTGGTGCGCGCGGCAGTGGCAGCAAGGCGTGCGCAGCGAAGCGGCGCCGCAGACGACGATGGGAGAGCGGGCAGCAGCGGCGGCTCATCGCGGTTCGAGCGGGTTGAGGCGCCTGCGCTGCCGGGCTACCGCGCGCAGCGGCCGCTGCCGGCTGGGTGGGAGGCGCGTCGGACACCCGAGGGTGTGGTCTTTTTCATCGACCACAACACGCGGACAACGACTTGGGACGATCCGCGTGTGGCGTCGGGATCCAAGTCGAAGAAGCCGACGCCGCGGTACGCGCGCGACTTTGCACGCAAGGTCGACACGTTCCGGGCGCAGCTGCGGTCGACGTCGGGCGAGGTGATGATCAAGGTCCGGCGTGGGCACCTGTTCGAGGACTCGTTCGTGGAGGTGATGAAGAAGCCGGCTTCGCAACTGACCAAGAGGTTCCGGGTCACGTACGACGGCGAGGCCGGGCTCGACTACGGTGGGCTCTCGCGCGAGTACTTTGTGGACTTGTCTGTGGACATGTTCAACCCGTACTACGGACTGTTTGAATACTCGGCGAACGATGCGTACACGCTGCAAATCAACAAGAACTCGGCAGTGGTGGTGGGCAACCACCTCGAGTACTACACGTTTGTGGGGCGGATGATTGCGCTCGCCATCCTTAACTCGAAGCTCATGGACGCGTTCTTCACGCGGGCGTTCTACAAGCACCTTCTGCAGCGGCCGATCACGCTGCAGGACATGCAGGCGTACGATCCCGAGTTCTATCAGTCGCTCAAGTGGATGTCCGAGAACGAGATCGAGTACATCCTGTACGAGACGTTCTCAGTGGAAATGGACAACTTTGGTGCCAAGGAGGTCGTCGACCTCATCCCCAACGGACGCAACATCGACGTGACCGACGAGAACAAGGCCGAGTACATCCGCCTCGTTACCCACTGGAAACTCTCTGGCTGCGTCGACGAGCAGATGACCGCCCTTCGCGAAGGCATCTCGCACGTCTTTGACCCGTCACTCCTCCAGGTCTTTGACGAGAACGAGGTCGAGTTCCTCATCTCAGGCCTCTGCGAGCTCGACGTCGGCGACTGGCGGCGCAACACCGACTACCGCTCGCCGTACTCGGCCGACCACCAGGTCATCCAGTGGTTCTGGCAAGCCGTGTACTCGTTCGATAACGAGCAGCGGGCACGCCTGCTCCAGTTTGCCACCGGCACCACCAAAGTCCCGCTCGGTGGCTTTGGCGAGATGTACGGCTCAAACGGCAAGGCCAAGTTCACCATCGACCACAAGCGTGGGCCGACCGACGCTCTCCCCATCGGCCACACCTGCTTCCTTCGCATTGACCTCCCGCAGTACCGCTCCTACGACCAGCTCCGCGAAAAGGTTCTCTACGCCATCGAGGAGGGCCAAGGCGCGTTCCTCCTCCAATAGAAGCCGAAACGTTTCAATTGTGCCATGAGAGAATAACATACAAGGGTCACAACCACTGGTTCGTCCGGCCGCCCGCGCCTGCCTCTGGTCATCGCCGCCCGCAGCCCGCCGGCAACGCGACAGACCGACAGACCCAACTCCCCCCTCCCTCCCCATCGCCCCGCATGCTGACAACAGCTCGAATTGCCGTCCTCCGGACCATTCGTCCGACCATTGCGCTCTGTGGCAGCCGCAACGTAGCAAGCGACAGTCACCCTGCTGGCTCACCAGGGCGTGTGAAGCGTGAGCATGCTCCGGTGGGTGTACCCGTATGGCACTCGCCGCTGGCCGCACCGCATCAACCGGCCGCTGTGGTGGACAAGGAGTATGCGGTGCGTCGGGCGGGGACAGCAGGAGCTGGAAGCGATGGATTTGAGTTGGAGAAGAACAGATCGGAAGTTGGTTGCGACGGATCATGGTGGCATGGCCCTTCTCTTGGCCAACTCGATGATGGTGTGGTCAACGTGGTGGTGGAGATCCCTCGTGGTCTGACCGTCAAGATGGAGGTGGCGACTGATGTGGCCGGCAATCCCATTAGCCCCGACACCAACAGCGATGGTTCGGTCCGCCATTTGAAGTACAAGAACGGTGTCATGGGCTTTAACTACGGTGCCATTCCACGGACCTGGGAGGATCCCGAGGTGTCGTACCATGGCTACGCCGGCGATAACGACCCGCTCGATGTGGTTGAGCTCTCGGATGGCGCCCTTCCCCTGGGCGCGGTGGTTCCGGCCCGGGTCCTCGGCGTCCTCGGTCTGGTTGACGAGGGTGAGCTCGACTACAAGGTCATCACCCTCCGGGCGAGCGAGGCTGCCCGGCGCGGATGGTCCGACATCGACGACGTACCAGCAGAGGTTCAGGCCGACATCATCGACTGGTACCGCAACTACAAGACCGCCGAGGGCAAGCCGGTCAACGAGCTGCTGTGGGACGGCACTATCCGTGATGCCGCTGCCGCCCTCGACATCGTCCGCCACACCGCCGACGCCTACGCCGGTCTTCGGGCCGATCCTGAGCGGGCCACGCGCCTCGGTCTCGCGCTCTGAGGCAACAGTCACTCCCAGCGCTGCGTTGGCGTTGGGCCGGGGGCAGGTGTGCTGTCGGCTGTGTCGACGGCGTTGCCGGCGTCGTCGTCAGCAGGCGCAAGCTCTGCCGCACCACCGGTGGGCGCGCCCTCGAACATCCACGGGTCGGCGGCCATGGCATGGGCCATGTCGGCGGCCTGCGACGCGTCCTCGTCGTCGGCGAGCAGCGACTCGAGGGTCGGCATAGCGGTTGTCAGCTCGGCAGCGAGATCGGTAGGGAGACCGGCGGCAGCCAGGGCATCGACCTCGTCCTCCTCGGCAGGGCGGGTGTCGTGAACAAAGACGAGCTCGGGAACGTGGCGGGTGGTGAGGCTCTCGGAGAGGAGTGAGCGGATGTAGGGCGCGGCGCGGAGGAGGGCAGTCTCCACCGTTTCGCGGCTGGGAGCATCATCTGCGCCCGGATCAGGCGCATAGTCCCAAAGAACACGAGCCCGGCGGCGGTCCCGAGTCACTTCAACATCGAGCACGTCGACACGTGCGTCGCGGAGATCGGCGTCCTTGACCGATCCGTCGCCGAGAAGAGCGCTCAGCCGGCGCTGCATGTGATGCATAAACACAATCTGCCTGTTGGAGAGCGGCACACCATCACGCGGCGCATGGCGCACTGCGCTCTTCTTCTGGCGGTCAGCAGCAGAGTCATGATCACCATGACCACCGCGAGTATCAGCCCACTTTGCCCGGAAGCGAGCGCCAGCGAGATGACCATCCTGGCCGCCCTTCCGGCCGCTCGCCGAGGGCGCGATGATCTCAGCCCACTCTGGCGATTCTCCAGCCAAATGAGCCGCTTCTTCCGCCGAGAGCAGAGCCTTTGCCCTCAGCTTCTTTGACTTGAGTGCGATCTTCCGAGTCTTCCGCCGAGCCATGTCTGTCCGAGGTGATGCCAGGTCGTCGTCGGCCTCTCTCCGTGTTCCGTCTTCAGGTCGTGTGTACAGGTCAAGCAGACGGGTGACATTACGGGTATTGCGCCGGGCAGCAAGCCCAGGAGACGCCCATAGCATTCGGATGCCCAAGGCGAGGATGGGATGGGCATGTGGGATGGGGATAGGGAGCCGGAGCATGAGGGAGGGTGGGGGCGGGGTGGGGTGGTGATGGATTGGTTGGATCGGGTGGCAGGG